GTATCTCCCAACTTCTACCCAACTGATCAAGGGGCTCAACTGACTGGTAGGGTCTTTAAGGAGAAAATAAAAGCTGTGAAGGATGAAACTGACTGAATAACACTGAAGGCATTAGCCTTATTAACAGCCAAGCTCATTTCAAAGATACTGGATATTGAAGGAAACAGTTATCCTTGAGTCTTGCTGTCTGTGTGGCATACCCTGTCTGTCTCAGTGGAAAGCACCAATTTGTGTTTGTTGTGAATATCTGTGAATACTGTCTTATGGCAGCTAGTTTTTAATTGTTGCCAGCCTGAAGGGAAAATGTGATTGAGTCCTCTATGTTGCAATAAGGCAAGAGGAGCTGTTCTTTGAGTGAAAATGTTTCCATTCAGCTAGAGGGAATGAGAGAAATGCTTCAGAATTCATTGTTTCCCTTGCTATTTTTAGTTAAATTAGGCTCACAATCATGAGAGAGTGCTGCTGCATTGGCCCATGTTATGACCAAAGTAAGTTGCTAACATGTCTGTAGCTTACAGAGATTCTAAGAGAAGTAGTTGTTGGAAAATACTAGTTTTAAGTAAAAAGATAAATGAAATGGAGGAAGAATTAAACATAACATGATAGAAGCTATCCTTTCATTTCATTAAATTCTACTGAGGGGATCATGGAAGGAATTCATGTTTCAATAGCATCCTGGTCTCCATTTTCAATTTTCTCAATGCTGGTTTGAACATTCAGGAAGAATGCAGGTTATGACAATAGATTTATAAAATGTGTGGTTAAGACTTAACTCATGCTAGCTCAATTAAAGAGTGGCATACAGTAAAAAATATTGTGAGAATTTTAAGAAAGTAAGAATGTAGACAGTGGAATCAAGACAGGTTCGTGGTCTTACGACTTTACTCTTTTGTCTTCTCTGAGCAACTCAGCCATCTCTTTGTCCCTCATAAAGCTCTACCTTGAATATAACTTGGCTTGTGTCTGTAGCAGGTCACCAAAAATCTGTTTGTCTTCCCATAGAGGCAGCCCTACTAATTTCCAGACTTTCCTTGCTGTTAAGGGGGGGGTCCCATGATGTGTTTTGGTCAATGGAATCTGAAAAGAAGTGGCAGCTTCAGAGCTCAGGCTTTTGAGAAGTGGAGCCGTCATGCTAGGAGATGGCCAAGCCGCAAAGGGGAAGCTCTGGTCTTTGGTCCCTGAGCCACCACTGGAGGAAAGCTACCCATAGACTAGAAGCTAGTTAGACTGTAACACAAGTGAAAATAAATTTGCCTCTGAGGCATTAAAAGTTTTCATCAGTTAGTGATTGCATCCTGTCCAAAGTGAACTATTGCATGTGATCCTGAACTTTATAACCCAGTTTCTTTCTGCCACCTGCCATTATTCCTCCAACCCATCTATTCCCCACTCCCACTGATCTAATTGACCAGCTCATAGTTTTATTTTAGGCCTGGCAGGCAGTAGGTTTCCAACCAGCCGATGCCTCAGCTGCAGTTGCTTGTTCACACTTGACCTAACCAGCTCTGGTCATTATGTCTAGTCACAGCTGTGGGCCTCACCTGTCAGAGGATAATATAAGCATCACAGGGTGGGAGAGTGAATCCTGGGTGGAGTTGCAGCAGAAACAGTGGGGAGCACTACATGCCCCTGCTGTGATGAACTCCCAGCAGAAACTAGACTTTCATAGCTCTAATGTGGAAGACTTCATGAAGTCAAATATATCACTATAAGCTTATAGGAATGTGTCTCAGGTGGATTCTGAGTTAAACTTGCGTGTGCCAAAATGGTAAATGGACCCCTACTGCTGTCATCCTCAAATTCCTTCTCAGTCCTAGTAACAAGTCCCCTCCTTCCAAATGAAAGTGTTCTTTTGTCAACTCCTACATTCACACAAAAATGTGATCTTTGTCCTTCAGAAGTTCCCAGTTCAGAAGGGGCTGTCGGGAGCCAATAATACTAGGCTTTGTAGGTACAAAGTCAGATGACATAAAGTATGATTTCTGTTCATAATTCATGCATACAACAGGAGTCCACAGGTCATGCATACCTTGCAATCTGCACAAAATGTCATGGAATCCCATGGGTAATATGCACATATTCAGAGCTATAACTGATATACATTATATCAGATGATATAATATATATCATATATTATATGGATATATAGTATATAATATATATATGGATATACATTATATATGTGGATATATACATTTCATATACATTATATATACAGTTGATATACATTACATATATGGATATATATATATATTCATATATATATGGATGTTCATGTAATGACATCTAACAGTTTTTATCTAGTTTGCCTGCAGTACATATTACACTTCCTGGAGAAAGGTATATGTGTTTGGATAGCTTCAGTAGCCCTAATAAATAAAATTTTAAAGCTGAGAAAGTTTTCTTCTTAGTAGTAGTGACAAATAAAAGCAAGAACACTTCCCTCTGTACTGATTTTGCACTGCCTAACAACTCCACAGAACGTTATGGAAACAATGTATTTCATAACACAATTACAAAGGAATTTTATAAGTGTTTTCTTTTGTTAAGACTTGGTTATATTAGGCTGTCCAGGCTGGAGTTGCTATTCACAGGCACAATCACGGTGCACTACGGACTTGAACTCCTGGCTCAAGCAATACTCTAGCCTCAGCCTCCTAAGTAGCTTGGATTACATGCAGTTGCCACCTGGCTTAAGCGCATATTTTTTGGATAGAATGTGAACATTTTAAGACTACCTGTGTACAGTCATTATGTGATTCTTTCAAAAGAGTATTTAAGAATGATTTTGTTTCTATCGAGAAGGTGTTCTTTTTTACATATCAGTAAATTTTTTGTGTGTGCCTTCAGCACATTTCTACTAGTTTTGCTCTGTGTCGCTTAAACTATTTCTCCAGTATTACCAGATTTAGACATTCAATGGAATCTTTTTTTAAGGTAAAGACTACAGAAGAGAATGATACTTTTAGTATACGGGACTAGGCTATAGCATGTACCTGCAAAACACCATGTGACCTATTGTCTAAATTCATGCTTGGCTGAGTCTTTTTAAAAATTGTTTGTGTTTTGCTTAATTTTATAGGAATAATTTCAACTACAGAAAAAAAAAAACAGGAAAAGGAAGAAGACAATAAAATTCAAAGGTGCAATGTAGGGTAGTGTTTTGGAGCTCTACCTCAGGAATCAGAAAGATAAAAAGCCAATAATGACTAGAGTCATAATTAAGACTTTGGACAACATTGCGAAACTTCCCTCTAAGCTTCAGCTTACTCCTTGTTATAATGTGAATACCATGTTTTCTTGGAAAAACTGAATACGTTACTCCATGCTAAGTGCTGCAGGTGACACCGGGTACATAAGAGTGATTAGCCAGCCAGGTGAGGTGACTCACGCCTGTAATCCCAGCACTTTGGGAGGCTGAGGCGGGCAGATCATAAGTTCAGGAGATCGAGATCATCCTAGCTAACACTGTGAAACCCTGTCTCTACTAACAATACAAAAAATTAGCTGGGCATGTTGGCAAGTACTTGTAGTACCAGCTACTTCAGAGGCTGAGGCAGGAGAATCGCTTGAACCTGGGAGGCAGAGGTTGCAGTGAGCTGAAATTGTGCCACGGCACTCCAGCCTAGGTAACAAAGAAAGGCTCCGTCTAAAAAAAAAAAAAAAAAATAGTGATCAGCTCATCTAGTTGCTCTCTTAGTGATTAAAAGCATTATCATCATCATTGTCATCACAATTTTCGACATCCCAGCCCTCTAAGACATTGAGGTTTCTGTCTTTCCCATGGCTTATATTATGCCAATTTGTCTTCCATATTTGGATCATACTGTATATCTGTAGCCCTAAAAGTTAATATTACTATGTTTTAAAATAAATTTTTTTCATTTCTAAGAAAAATATAATATGCAGCTGTAGTACTTTGTGTAACACATTTGTCACATTAATCTTTTGTTTGCTAGCATTGACAAATTATGTTCTGATAGGTAATCATTACCTAATGGTAAATGCCATATTACATGGTGACCTCATACAAAAAGTGTCATTCTTGTTTTCTAATATCAGAATTAGAAAAAATGTGCTGTATTTTCACAGAGCCAATATTCATATTATCCCAGCATATGATTTCAAAATTTGTATAACTTTTTCAGGGTTTGTCATCACATGTGCATGTGATACATACACACATGTCCTTTGCTCTAGCACAGTTCTGATAATGCACAAATAGACCACTTCCTTTAAATAAGCCAACCTATGCTTATTATTAGGGAAATTCTTATGAGTAAGCAAGGCATCCAGATTTGAAAACAAATGCACAAATGAATGCCATCTATACCTGTAACTGCATGGGTTACATTGCCTAGCCTGGCAACAGAAATCTTAGCTAAAGCTGAGACACAATAAATAGAAATGTAAATTTCAAAAGGAGGAGAGGCAGGCCGAAGAGAAAGGGGCTGTTGCCTAAATGGGAGGCTGCAGCAGGTCACCTCACCCACTCCTCTGTGTGTGTGCTGCGTGACTCTCATTCAGTCTGGTAAGATTCTCAAACAAAGTCCAGTGTCCTAAAAATATTTGGAACTATTACAAAGCATAAATTATAAATGTGTCAGGAAAATGGGAAAAGGTGTCTTGGGCCTACTTAAAGCACAAAATGATCTCAACCATTATTCAACAATGATATGAACATCTTTTATTTCATTTCTCCTTAACTGTTCCTTCTGTTTGCTATCATTTCCTGCTCAGCACCATGTCAATAATTACTAAATTAGCGGGACGCCTGTACAATTTCAGCTCAAGTGTTATTACTGACAAGTCAAACAATGGGGCTGATGGAAAAGATGGGACTCCATCTCCTTATTTAAATGGACCGTGTTCAGAAGGAAAGATTGAAGCCCCCTTTTTCTTCAAAAGAAGGAGGGAGGGAATGGTTTACATTTTGTGCGGCTCAAGGACACAGAGTCAGAGGAAATGCCTTTTTAACAGAAACCTCTTTTCATTTCCAGGGGACAAAAATGAAGGTTATTGAAAAGAATCATGCTTGGTAGAAGACGTAATTACATTTTTTTTCAAATGTCAGAGGAATAATGCTTTTATATTTCCTGAGATGACCCAATTTGCACTACGATATGCTCCCTTAAATGTAAGTATGCGGACGCCCTCGCCCTGTATTGTTTTTCACTGGTAAAAATGCCCTGTCGTACCTCTGATTAATTTCTGTACTGGTCTCCCAATACACAAAAGCAGCTACACCACGGTTGTCCGTTCTTACAATGATGAGTTAAAAATGACAGACTGGGCCAGTCCCCCCACCTGCCAAATTAAAAAAAAAAAAAGAGAGAGTCAAGTAGCTGCAGCTATAAATCATCTTCTCAAATTGTACGATTCAGGGCCGCTGACCTGTCTTGCAGTGAGAAGGAAGTAGCCTGACCATGGGTGCTCCGAAGGATAGCCGGAGCCCCTGCTTCAGCAGCTGGTTAAGTAGACTGGAAGGAAGGGTTTCTTACTCTTAGTCCTTGTCCTCCAGCCTTACCATGTATACACCTGTCCCAGACCTCTGCTAGCCACAGCTACATAGGAACAAGCTCAGGAACACCTTTTCTCTACCATAAGAAGTACTATTTTAAAAAATTGTATTAAATATTTGTTAAAATGTGTGTTTCTAGCAATAGGATTGCTAAGAAACACTCCAAAATAGTGTTTATATACCTCTGAACCATTCTTTGATTATTTTTATTAAAATACTTAAAGCACTTTCTGGAAATTGATTTGTATTTGATATAGATAGGAATTCACTGGGCATAAAACTAAACTTAGTTTTGAGATGTCAAACAACCCTTCCATGACCTTTGGCTTGCAGTGAGGTAAACATTTAGTTGAGAAATATATATGTGTGATTGCTTCTCGGTATTTTGGTTAAGATCAAGTGTAGGAAACGTATGTATGTTTTCTGTTCTAGTTTATATACAAACAAACTCTTGATTTTTGGAAAAAGTGATCATGCATGATGTCACTTAGCATGTTGGAAAGCCCCAATCTTAATTCTTTTAGACCTCCAAAAAAGATGATCACTTAAACAATGTTAGTGAGGAAAATAAATGAAGACATTAATGAGATTTCTACCTTTCTTAAACTTTTAGATTTTTATTTCTTTTTACTCATTTTCTTATACTAGCTACGGAAAAAAATGATGAGGATAATTTGTGGTGATTTGTTTTGAGAGCTGATAGGAAGGTAGGGTTTCTATCACCTGCAGTAACTCAAAGGGAAGTGCACGCAAGCACTAGGCTACCAGATATTCAATAAATATTTGCACTGTGTGACTAAGAGAAGAGAGTACATGTCTGTTTCACTAACATGAACTTCTGAAACTTTAATAAATGATCATAAAGTTTGTGCTTAGTGATTCAATGGATAGTTATGGCCTTTGAAAAGGCCTGAGCCACTACATAACGTATGCTCAAGAACAGGATTACAGATTTGAGTAATCTTAGTAATGAATCCTAAGGTATAAAAAAACCTTCAATATTGTGATTTTTTTTCTTTCTTTATTTTCCTTTAAGTTCGAGATACATATGCATCTGTTACATAAGTATACATGTGCCATGGTGGTTGCTGCACCTGTCAACCCATCATGTAGGTTTTAAGACCCTCATGCATTAGGTATTTGTCCTAATGTTCTTCCTCTCCTTGCCTCCCACACCTCAAACAGCCCCAGTATGTTTTGTTCCCTTCCCTGTGTCTGTGTATTTTTATTGTTTAACTCCCATTTATGAGTGAGAACATGCGGTGTTTGGTTTTCTGTTCCTGTGTTAGTTTGCTGAGAATGATGGCTTCCAGCTTCACTCACGTCCTGCAAAGGACGTGAACTCATTTTTTATGGCTGCATAGTATTTCATGGTGTATATGTGCCATATTTTTCTTTATCCAGTCTGTCATTGATGGGCATTTGGGTTGGTTCCAAGTCTTTGCTGTTGTAAATAGTGCTGCAATAAGCATACATGTCCATGTGTTTTTATAGTAGAATGATTTATAATCCTTTGGGTATATACCCAGTAATGGGATTGCTGGGTCAAATGGTATTTCTGGTTCTAGATCTTTGAGGAATTGCCTCACTGTCTTCCACAATGGTTGAACTAATTTACACTCCCTTTAGCAGTGTAAAAGCACTCCTATTGCTCCACAGCCTCACCAAAATCTGTTCTTTCCCTGACTTTTTAATAATCCCCATTCTGACCAGCGTGAGATGGTATCTCCTTGTGGTTTTGATTTTAATTTCGATAATGACCGCTAATGATGAGCTTTTTTCCATGTTTCTTGGCTGCACACATGTCATCTTTTGTGGAGTGTCTGTTCATATCCTTCACCCACTTTTTGATGTTTTTTTTTTCTTGTAAATTGTTTAAGTTCCTTGTAGATTCTGGATATTAGACCTTTGTCAGATGGGTACATTGCTAAAATTTTCTCCCATTCTGTAGGTTGCCTGTTCACTCTGATGCTAGCTTATGTGACTGTGTAGAAGCTCTTTAGTTTAATTATATCTCATTTATTGATTTTGGCTTTTGTTGAAATTGCTTTTGGTGTTTTAGTCATGAAGTCTTTGCCCATGCCTATGTCCTGAATGATATTGCCTAGATTTTTTTAAAAGGGTTTTTATGATTTTGGGTTTTACATTTAAGTCCTTAATCCATCTTAATTTCCGTATATGGTTTAAGGAAGGGTACAGTTTCAGTTTTCTGCATATAGCTAGCCAGTTTTCCCAGCACCATTTATTAAATAGCGAATTCTTTTCCATTGCTTGTTTTTGTCAGTTTTGTCAAAGATTAATATTGAAAATGTGTTTGCAGTCTCTGAGCTCTGGATAGTGATTGAGGAGATTCATAAGAAAATGGAAGAAGATAAAAGAAAAGATAAAAGATATAATTGCAATAGAAATATTTCTAACATTTGAATGTCATGATTTTACCTGGATTTGTGCATGATTCTCTTACTCTGTTGACTGGTTTTCTTCTCAATGAATTGACTGGATTCTCTGATGGTGTTTGAATCCTTCAGTATACGTTTCATTGTACAAGATATGTGGAAACATTTTTTGAATCATCAGTTACTTGAGTTTATTATTTATCCCTCCAGGGCTTATATCTTTGTTTACAATTAATATTTTTTGCAAGATGTTTCTGAATTTTGAGCCACTGACTAGTAATTTGGGTATGTTTTTAGATAATATCTTAATAGAAAAATCATAGATAGATGTATATAATAGGTATTTCAATATTCTACTAATGGGAATTGCAGTGTTGTGAAAGTGTGAGGTAGCAGACTTTTCAAAAATCACATTTTTCAGGGAGTGTAGAAGATGTTGATATCCACGACACTAAGTACTGGTAGTTTTCTTAGTATCATTTAATATCATGCATTTGAGTGGGACTCTCTGTTGTCTGGAGTTCCACAGACCCACACTTCCGCTGGTCATAGTAGTACCAAAAGATCTTTTCAACTAGAGGTTCCTGTTAAAGAGTAGACTAATTAGATAAGGAGTAATCTGCCATGAAAATGATACATTTCCCAGGATTATTTTATGTAAAACCTGATGTTTCACTCAGTGTGGTCAGATTGCCTGGAGTCAATGTGTAGCTCTGCCATATCAGATCTGGGGGATGTTGGACAAGCTACTTAACATTTTCCCTCTTTGTAATGTGAGGAATACCATTCAGTAATATTGACTGCTTCACAGGGTGCTGGTGAGAGTTGAATGGATTAGTTAGAGTTGAATGACAGAGCTCCCCCTAACACAGAGTATATGCTTGCTAAAGGGGAGCTATTGTTGTCATCACCACTATCATTGTTATTATCATTATGGCAAAATTATTCTGAAGTCTGTCTTGGTTATGCCATTTCCTCAAATTGATGAACATGGCCCTTCTAAATCAAAATGAAATTGTCCTTGTCACTTGCAGTCTCCATTAGGCAAATAAACCATTTCTATCAACAGAAACCATAGAAAATGGTCCACTGTCAGGTACTGACACAACCGATTTATTTAACATCCTTTCACTCAACAGACATTTACCAACCGTACGCAATGCTGTTAGTAATCAGATGTTTACCAACTTGTATTACATGGAAGACAGCATATAAAAATGAGAATTTGTGGGACTTTTCAGGTATAAGTTTCACGTAAGGAATTTACTTCTCCATCATTAGTTCATTTATTCATCCATCTGATGTTTATGGAGTTCTATGATATAACAGGTCCAGTTTTAGACACTTGAAATATGTCACAGAATGAAAACATTTCCTTTCCCTAGGGGAGTTTACATTCTATTTGGGTGAAGACAAACAATAAATAATAAATATACACGTTTATATAGTAACTGTGAGTAGGATGCCTGGGAAGGAAGGAGAAGCCACAATATTTAATCAGTAGGTTGAAATAGCTTTGTTAAGAAGACAATATTTGAGGTAAGACTTGAAGAAAGTGAAAGAACTAACAACAACAACAGTTTGAAGGAGGAAGATTTCAGTAGGAGGAAACAGAAAATTCTCCAAAGAGAGTGCATGGCTGGTATGTGGTTGGTGAGGCTGCAAGGGCTTGAGACAGGAATGGAAGAGAAGGAAAATACATGATCAGGGACGTAAGAGAGAGTGGGCAGAGCTTTATTTTAAGATCAAAGAATTTTACTTTGAGTGAAATAAGGGAATATTTGAGGATTTTGGATAGAGGAGTAATACAAACTAGTTTGCATTTTTAAAGAATCATTTTGGAGGGTTATTGATAATGGACTACAGAGGAAAGCAAAGGTACAAACATGGAGACTTCTTAGGATGTTGTAACCCAGGTGAGCAATCATCATGGATGAGGTCGAGTTGGTAGTGGCAGAAGTGGTGAGAATGTACATCGGTGTGTACTTTCTGGATATCTTTATACTTAGAACCCCCAGAATTTGCTGAGAAATTGGATGTGAAGTATGATTTTAAAATATCTTAAGAAAACCTTTTGGCTTGATGAATTAAATGAATGGGGTTGCAATCCACTGATACTAGGTCTGGGTGTCAGACATAATAGTGAGAGTGGCAAGTAGGGTAGGGAGAGACAAACCTGGGTATCAGGAAGGAGATTGAGCTAAAGGTTTAACAGTACAA